AGATTTGCCAAAGAAGAAAAAAATTACAGCAAAATGGAAGAAATAAGTTCTAGTATTCTGTAGCACTATAGGATGATTATAGTTAATAATATTAGGTTTGTGCAAAAGTAACTTTGGTTTTTGCATGGTTGATATCTGCTGTTTGATATTGTAATACATTCTTAAATAAATGTTGTCATGTTATACATCATTTTAAAATGCAATTCTCACTTTGTTTTTCTTTTTTTGCTAATGACATTATTTGCCATTTATTTTATACTATATTAGATTATGGAAATGATGTTAGACAAAAGGTTAATTTGAGAGATTTTCTTATTCATGTTCAAAATGTGTTGTACATCAGGGGAGACAACTCACGACATCAACAACGCATTTGACCCAGGAACTGCTAATGAATGTACAGTTTGGTAGGGGTTCGAGAAGTTTTGCAAAGGAGATGAGAACCTTTAAGATGAGGAGCATAGTGACCAGCCATGGGAAGTTGACAATGACCAACTGAGAGCAATTATTGAAGCTGGTCCTCTTACAACTACATGAGAGGTTGCTGAAGAACTCATCATCAACTATTCTATGGTCATTTGGCATTTGAAGCAGACTGGAAAGATGAAAAAGCTCAATAAATGGGTGCCTCATGAGCTGACCAAAAATGAAAATAAAAAATTATCATTTTAAAGTGTCCTCTTCTCTTATTCTAAGAACCATTTCTCTATTGGATTGTGACATGTAACGAAAAGTGGATCATATACAACAACTGGCCATGACCAGCTCAGTGGTTGGACCAAGAAGATGCTCCAAAGCACTTCCCAAAGCTAAACTTGCACAAAAAAAGGTCATGGTCACTGTTTGGTGGTCTGCTGCCAGTCTGATCCACTACTGTTTCCTGAATCCCGGTGAAACCATTACATCTGAGAATTATGATCAGTAAATTGATGAGATAAACTGAAAATTGCAGTGCCTGCAACCTGCATTGGTCAACAGAAAAGGCCCAAGTCTTCTCCATGACATTGCCCGACTACATGTTGCACACAACCAACGCTTAAAGGTTGAACAAATTTGGCTATGAAGTTTTGCCTTATCTGCCGTATTCACCTGACCTCTCACCAACACACGACCAGTTCTTCAAGCATCTTGACAACTTTTTGCAGAGACAACGCTGCTACAACCAGCAGGATGCAAAAAATGCTTTCCAAAGTTCATCAAATCCCGAAGCACAGATTTTTACACTATAGGAATAAACAAACTTATTTCTCACTAGCAAAAATGCATTGATTGAAATGATTCCTACTTTGATTGATAAAGATATTTTTGAGTCCAGTTAAAATGAGTTAAAATTCATGGTCCAAAACCACAATTACTTTTGCACCAGCCTAACATAATTTTCAAATAGCTAGAGGAGAGGTTATTTCCCAACACAAAGAATGATAAGTAATGCAGATGATGGGTATGCTAATTACCCTGGTCTGATCACGATACACTATACATCATATGTATTGAAACATCACTATGTACCAGATAAATTGTGGGTGTGTGTGTGTGTGTAATTATTATGTGTCAATTTTTTTAAAAAAAGGTTTTATTTCAGGGCAATAATGAAAACTTTCTGGTTCTCAACTCAAACCTCGAACTGTGAACTTAAATCCCCCAGTTTTATCATTTTCTTTCACTAATTTCTTCAGCATGTTTAGAAGCAACTGTGGAAGGGGGCTTAAAAAGACATCTATAATGTCAAAACTTAGGTTAAGCATGTACTCAACATTTGCACAGTTAAAAAAAAATTTCCTTCCTGGAAACTGGCAACAGCACCTGCTGGCTAGGTTAAACTGTTTAACAGGTTTTTTTTTTTTTCCGCTTCTGTGAACCCCGCTAGCATTGCTTGAAAGGTACCTAGGCCTCCAGGATGTTGCGGTTTGGCCTGCTTGGAAAGTCCCAATGTGGTTTTTCCCCATTTAAGCAAGCCCCTATAGCTAATGGGTGCCCCTTGCTGTGGGACTGTTATGTCCAGCAGGCAAGTGGCTGCTGGCCCAGCTCTTGGCTAATAAAAACCTCTCCTTTTTATAACTTGTACTTTTGGTGTTGGTGTCTGTGAATTAAGTGCTCAGTCCCTATTTTACAACAAATCAACTCCACAATCATGATTTTCTTTGTTTTTATGAAAACGTTCTAATGCAGCAGATAGTAACTCTATGCCTTGTCTTCTATAGACACTTTCCTGCAGGTAACTGTAGGTGAGATTGCTCCTTCAGTATAACTCTTTATTTATGTATATTCAAATCCTTTGTCACTCTTGAATGAAGGTATTATTGACAGTAAGGGAAAACTAAGTCAATGTTTGTCCAATTATTCTGAAGTGACAATTTTTAAAGAGTTAATTGAAAAAAAATACTAGAATTATTATGATAAGTTTGGAAAATGCTAGAATTCACTAAACAGAGACTTTCAGTCTTCAGTATGAGTTTATGCATTATAAACTTACCAGAAATGAGTATAGAGGATATCATTTTTGGCAATGGAATCCTTTTTTTCACTGAGTATTGTTGGAACACAGATTGAAAAATAGAGCATTAAGCCATTTTTGATCAAATTTTAATTGGATTATCAGTTTTTGATCATAGCCAAGTCCTAAGAGAATGGAAGAGACAACAAATTATTTATTGAGCAAAGGGCTTCATAGGGTCTTCAGACATGACTCATATGAAAGGGGTCATGCAATAGGGCTTCTCTTTTGTGATATATCATCTAGTGTAGAGGCTCTTAAAACAAAAGTATGAAATACATAGTAAACAAAAGATAATAAGATGAGATTATAAATGAATCACTGTAAGGTTTCAAAGGAGGGAAACAGTCACATCTACTAGAGAAAATGTATAAAGGTTTTGTGAAAGCCTAGATATAAGCGATAGTCCTTGAAGAATGATTAGGAGGTAGTCAATGGCCAGAAATAGGAAGGAATGTTTCCAAACTCAGAACTGGCATAAGCAGAGGCATAAGTTTGATGTGGAGTGGGGGCATGGGGAAGTCAGTGGGGGGGGGTGATAAAACTTGATTTCTTGAAATTCGGTCATACAGGCTACCTAGTGAGAAAGAGAACTGATGGTTTGAGGTAAAGGTAGACAAAGGATGGTGAAAGAAAATGGAGAGTCTGAGACTAAACTTGAAAATGGAATGAGACTGTATTGCAGCCTCTGGGCATCTTGGGCATGTTGGAGGAATCTAAAGGAAGGACGCCTGAGGAAAACTGGAGGCTCATTCCATCTACCTCATACTTTGGCTAGGAAAAGGCCTAATCAAATATATTTGGATCTAGGTTCTGTGTCTCCACTTGCCAATATAGAGAGCCAAAGACAAGTAAGGTTCTTCTTGAACAAAGACGATGTGTGTTATTCCCCAAAGAATCTTTTAGGAAAAGCAAGCAGCCTGAGAAATAGTTGTTCATTAGATATATTCTGGCAGCAACCAGAAAAATACAGAAAGTACCAAGCACATGCACATACACATAATACGCTTGATTCTTGAAACACTTGTGGTTTAACTGCTTTGTTATTACTGTCATTATTAAATACCCGTTACTTTCTCTAGTAAATATACTTTAAAAGCCATCCAAACCTATGTTAAATATTGTAAGACAGTGATAAAGTTTGGGTCCAAAAATTTCTTATAGAAAAATGTTAACTGCTTAATTCAGTTTTACAACTATAAGTAGGGTAGTTTTTCTTTAACACATCCCCTCATGTTTATTGCTATGAAGAAGGTAAGTACTCTCCAGTGACTTGCTCAATTCAAGAACATCCTGGCAGCAGATTCTTTTAAGCTGTATGGCACTCTTCTGAAATCTACTGCTGATACATTCCACATGTAACCCCACTGCCCCTGGAAGGGAAACTTTCCTGCTGAATCAGAGTAGTTTATAGAGATGCAAAAATAACAGGCAACCTATGTCTTTTAGAAACCGTTGACATAGCTAACCTTCACCTTCTCACAAGTGGGAAGGTTTGCCTTTCTTCCAGATGGAAATCCACACTTTCCCAGTGAGGAGTATGGGTCATCTAATACAGTGGGTTGTAAAGAGAGAACATACCTCCATTAAAGTCATCATCTCTTGCTGACTGGCTACAACTGTCTGTAGCCTTACTCCCACCTTGGCTCTCTTAACAGCAGATGGGTTCACTTAGGACAGCATATCATCCAAACCCAGCAATCACGTTTTTCCTTTGGGTCCAAATGTGCTGTGTGAACAACAAAGCACATTAGGAGCATATACATCTAGAAACAGAATCAAAGGGACCTTAGGTAGTGAATGGGTCAAGGCAGTAGGCTAGGGCACTAACTTACTTTTACAAACTATAAAGCAAATTCTTGCCATTTCCCTACTCAGAACAAAGCTGACAAGCTAAACCTGCTTAGGTTTCACTTGCGCTTGAGGTTCTCAAAGTCAAAACATGAGAAGAAACATGAGCCTGCATATCACATGTGAGGCTGTGTGGGCAGGGCCAAGTCAGCTGTGTTATCTCAGCAAAGTTCAGAGACAAGAATCAAGCAATGTCTGTCCATAGGTGACTATTTCCTGGCCTCCAAATTATGGACTGCAACATTGAGACTCTGGGGGGCTTTATCCAAACAAAATTTCCCCTTAAATTATTTCTAACTGTGAATAGCGAGAGATTAAGTCGTATACATATCTAATTTTGTCATTCTATTAATTTTAATGAGTGCAGCCTCATCTGTTCCACTAAAGCGCTGTCAATGTGTATGCTTGTGTGTGTGTGTGTGTGTGTGTGTGTGTGTGTGTGTGTGTGTGTGTGTGTGTAAGAGGTAGGGCAGTATGCTGCTTTGTTTCTTTGTCCCTGTGCATTGAATGTGTCATTTCGAGAGTGGTTTCTTGGTGCTACTGAGAAACCTGGTTTCAGATGCCAGTCGGAGCATCCTCAGGCTCATTAATAATGGAGGAGTCTGGCAGGAGCAGTTTTGCCTTCCTTTGTTTTCCACGGTAGGTGAAGGGAGAAATGGATCTCTCCGTTTTGCCAAATAACAACCATCCTGACAAATTCCTGCAGCTTGACGTAAAGTCTTTAATGAGGAGCTCAGCCCTCCTTCAGGCCAGCCTGGTGAGGTTTCCGGGTGGAAATTACCCTGCTGCACAACACTGGCAAAACCATGTCTACTCACAGGTAAGATCTAGGGACACATAAATATGGGGATGGAGTTTTACTTCTTTCTATCTTCCATTTTAATCATTTATGCAAAAAAGAAGGCTATAGGGAATAGGGTACAAGGCTACTCTCTCTTCAATCTTCCTTAATTAAAGGAGTCTTCCTCTAATCTCTTTATAAAATATGTGAATTCTTTCATTCATTAACTCACCCCCCACCCTAAGCATTAAGCTTCTCAGCCTACCCTCATTTTGGATTTCATGAATCTTGGTGTAAAGTGACTCCTCATTTTACTCCTTTCCTTCAAAATGTGTTTAAACTAGTTGCTACACTTGCAATAAGGTTTTGGGGGGAACACCTATCTCTATATTTTGGTATAGTCTAAGCATAAAGCATCAGAAGCTTACATAATAGGTATAAACAAGTCTCTAAAACAGCTGGAGACTTTGTTTCTGCCTCCCTTAGACTAGCTCCCTTTCATTTTATACACAGAAGACTTAGACAACAAAAAAAAAAGGAAATCTAATGATTGAAGGAAAGAAATACAGGGAACTCTCTATCTTGGAAAACTGCTAGCTATTATCATAGAGACTCTTATTTTCCACAGGTGACCATGTGAACAAGACATACCAATTAGACCTTTAAACCAAGTACAGATTTTATTTCCCTTGCTTTTCTTTTGCATCATCCTTCTTTATGCTGAGCAAAAGAGAAGAATAAAACTGTGATGAGTTCCATCTGTGGTATAAACATAAAGGCTCTGACTGTTGTACAGCTAGTGAAACAGGAATAATCTTTGTTTTAAGACATGAAGGCTAATGGGGTTAAGAGTTAGTTAATTTAGAAACAGGAAGAAGCATTTCATTACAGAACAGATGTGACTGACCTACAAACCCCTGCAAGTCATTAAATCCTTTGGAGTGGTTCAAATTCCCTGAACAGAAATTTGTTTTCTTTTAAGAACAGTTGCTACTCATGAGTCCTGGTGTAAAGTGTCTCCTTTGTGGTATGTTTGTGGGCTCCTTGGGACCTTTATCATGAGATCATTCAAAATCTAGTACACTCAAATGATTATGTAAGTGTTTCCTCCACCTATAAGGATTTTAATTTATTTCCATTGTAAGGCAGCCTATTATGACAACTGACATTTTTTGAATTTTGCATCAGTCCCCTTTGTAACCCTCAAACTTTCTGCCCTTCCACACTTATCTGTTGAGTTGTAGTTTTCACTTGTTTTTGTTTTTAGTTTTAAGGAAAATGGAATTCCTCCCTTTTTTGGGTATTGTTTATATCATACAACAAAATGACTTAAAAATCAGTTCAGGAAAGCTTGGCCCTCCTATGCTATGAAGTTTAGTCTAAGAAAACATATCCAATAAATTCTTTTGAGGTTGGAACACATTGATCTAACATCTTTAGTTTGGTATTGAAGTTGACCTATTTCCTTCATGTGGAACTTCACAATTTAAAACTCTTGAATGTTGTTCCTAAACCTCAATGAGATGCCAATTTTTAAAAGGCAACTTTTTCTATAGGTCCCAATGGCTTGAAATCGTTATTCAAGGAAAACACAAGGAGATAAACGTCTGCTTAATAGGTCTTTGTATATTGGTAATTATCAACTTCAAAAAACTCGAGTTAGTTATTTTTTAGCCTAAAAATAAATGTTAAATGAGCTGTAAAAACCAATTTACTATTAAAATAATGCATGGAGTTGGGGGAAGCAGGGTAGAAAATGAATTACAAATTCACGTTATGAGATAAACATGGCACAAACTATACATAACAATAATTACGGTCATGACTTGACTTTGAAATACATCAATAAATAATTATTCTCTTCTTGGAAGGATATTAAAATTCAGGATTAATATATTCATTTAATTTTTAAAATATGTAAGGGTAATAGGCATATTAAAATTTTAAATAATTGTCATGATACCTGGAAGAAACACTGAATAGACTAATTGTTTTAAGGTGTTAGGCACTCATAAGGTGGAAGCTGCCAAATAATTCTTAATTTAAAACCCTCATTCTGTTAAGGAGTCATTAAGACAATGGGAAGAACATGGAATAAAGAGGTTAGAAACTTGGTTTCTTGCCTCAAATTCACAGTAAGCCAGTTTGAGAAATATCTACTAAAGCCCTTAATCAGTCCATGCCTCAGTATTTCCACTTGAAAAATTAGGATGATATTTATTTTACTTATGTCCTTAAAAGTGAGAGCAAATGAAATATAAAGTAAAAGCAATTGAGAAGCAGAGTTTCCTATAAGAGAGTAAGAATATGTATGGAAAGGTGTTCCATATATATGTATTATTATTTATGAATATTTCAAAATGTATTATACTTTCATTTGAATTTGGAAAATAGCAGATAATTCTACTTCCATTATTTTATAGATATTGTGGATGGATGGGTGTGTGCACAGGCATGTGTATACATGTGTGTGTGCATGTGTGTGTATGTGTATGGTGCTGATTGATGATGGCTGGGAAATATACTCATACATCTGTCAAGCTGTATGCCTAACTAAGCAGTAGATATGATGCCATATGAAATCCACACAAACTCCAGAGTTGTGTCAACTGTTCCCATACAACCCAGGTGCCTGGAGTTTGGGAAGCAGACCACATCATGGAATGTCAAAATACTTAACCTATATTCCCTAGATTTTAATGCCTCTCCTTTCTACTTGGGTTTTGTGTATAACTGCATTTCTTAGCTATCTGTCTCTGAACATATCATACCTTTCTAAGACATTACCTTCAAATTGGGAGTAACTTGACAATTAAAAGAGAGATTTCCTTGGTCCAAAATATTAAGTTGAATTCTTAAGTATAGGTATCATTTTATATCAAAGATTTATCTTCTAATTTTTAAAATTCACATTTAACTTTTAGAGGAAATTCTCTGAGCCATTTTTTTACATACACTAAAACAATACTATACAGTCTAGAAAAGTAAGCAGTCTAGTTAGTAAACGGGTACACTGTCAATTCCTGTCTGTGCCAATACTCAGATCTTCCATATTTCCAGGGAAACAGTATGAGCAGATATTACTTGATTCCACTATATGTATTCTTTTTTTCCTTAAACTATTTAACCAGAGAAATGAAGGTGTTTCACAATAAATTTTATGTCAGTGTAATGAATAAACATTCTCCGAAATTTAATGTTTCTGCTTGTTGAAAAGATTGGGACATGTTTCTAATGAGGGCATTTCAGCATGCATTCCAAATATTTCTGCCAACCCCTTTATGAAAGAGATAGGAGAAGGAAAAGTTATTTTAAGAAAAAAATTAAGTGAAACAAAAATTTTAAGGATATTGTGGTGGTCTTTTATTTTCTGATTAGCAGTTGCACTTTGGAATCTCTTCAGACTAATATCTTTATTATATCTTTCCCTGGCTTCTATCACATCAGTTTCAGAACCCAGGAACATTCCAAACTAAACCTGCGAGCTAGATGGAAAGGCCAGAGGTCTACTCTTCTGTTTATTTCTTGACAATGTTATTTAATGGATTTATTTCCTAATCACCTTTCTTCACTTCTTTTCAGTTGACTAGAGCTCTTTTTTCCCCAAATTTTAATGTCTTTCCTTTCTATTTAGGTTTTTATATATAACTGCATTTCTTAGCTGTCAGAGATGGAATTAACCCTCCTCAGTTTCATCATTAAAGCACAACATGGAAACTCAGAGATTGGAGGAGTTAAGATTAAAACTTAAGAAAAAAAGAGGCAGCTCTTTTAATCTTGTTAAGAAAAAAGAGGCAGCTCTTTTAATCTTGTTCTTTCAAGAATAGGCACCTCTCAGGTGAGCAGGCACATAGATGCAGTCACAGCCAGCATATTTATGCCATCAAGCGCAAGTTCTTCCCTTGGTTCCTCATTGATTGAGTACTTCAGAGTTACATTACTTTCCTGAACATCACCTAAGCAATAATTTTGTACAAATAAGGCAAAATACAAACAATTTCTACACAAATAAAGTAAAATACATGTCTCTGGATTCTGATTGGGTCTCAATGCCTGCCAAAGGAACCTTGTCCAAAGAGAAACCCCACCAAGAAAGGAGGAAAAACCAGGAAGTGAAGTAGCAAATCACCATTTTAAAAATGAATCACCATTTGGGTTTTTTTTTTACACTAGCTGTCTGTCCCAGAACATATCATACCTTCCTAAGACTTTCTCTGTTTTCAATCTCCTACTTACTATTTTGAAAAGAACAGCCCTGCACACACAATAGTCTGTCATTTCTAAACTTATGTTAGGGCAGCAACATGGTACTGTGCAGGGGTTTATTACTTAGAAAGTAGATTGTTAGTATTATCAAGATGCTCAGGGTACCTATGAAGTTATGTTAAATTCATGCAGCTTGTAAAATCTCTGATAAGGTTGGAGAATAGGCATTAGAAGGTATGTTTCCAGAAATAACACCCAAATTTACCCACCATACTGCTCTCACACCAGACCCAAATGCCTCAAGCACTAAAGCCTATATTAAAGAGACATTGCATGCCATGATATCATGTATGAGACCCCAGAGCTCAGGTTCCATGTAGGGAAAAGTAGAAGATACAGTTTAAGAGAGTCCTGGGTGATCCATGGAGGAGCCATGGGTTTTGTCCGAGAGTTCGAATTTTTATTCTGAAATTTTTGAGAAGTCATTGAAATTTTTTAAGCAAAAGAATGATGTACTCAAATCTGTGTTATATAAAGATTACCAATCTAGCAATTTAGAAGACAGAATTACTGTGGTCAAAGAAGAACTGATTTTCTGGAAAAGTTTGTATCTGAACTCACACATGAAATTGTTTGCATTAGGATTATGATAAGGATTACAATGAAGGTATAGATCAAAATGGAGAAAATATAAATCTTCATGACATTGATTCTCCCAATCCATGAATGTGTTATATCTTTCTATTTATTCAGTTTTTCATATGGCCTTCAATGATAACTTATAACTCTCCACAAATAAGTTTACCATATAATTTTTTAGGTTTATATATAAA